ATTGATTCAAAAATATACGTACCAAAAACAATTGTGCATCGCGCATCAGACTTTCCTTTCAAAATTTCTTCTTGTAAACAACCGGTCGGATTCTAGAATGTACTTACATTTTGAATACACAAAAAGTATCTTCTAAATATTTAATACAATGAAACATAGAATCATCATGGAATTTATTCATTTTGAATATAGGAAGCATTGTCAGAATAAGTCAATAGAAATCCGTTTTTATATTTTTGTAGATCTTTCCATGACACATCTTTTGAAAAAACAATGAAGATTATCCAATTAATTCCAGCTGAGATATTTCCAAATACTAAATGTTGTAATCTTTATGCTGCACTTACGTTAGTACCATCATAACAAATTATTGAAATAAAAGTTAGAGAGATAATGTGTTCTTTTTTTGTTATTTCATATTAATATGAAAATAAATAACAACTATCATTGTTTCGAAATTTGGGTGTGGGTTTGAGTGGCTGTTAAAGAAGAGAAGTTTAATACAGACACCCTTACCTACGCCCACTCACAACCTCTAGTTTACTTCACATTTTACTGTTGTCATTTCCTGCCAAAATAATATTAAATTAAGATAACATTAATCACGTTCAATGTAATCGTCATCTATTGAAAATTAAAAATTGTTTACTGAATTTTTTTATAACGTTAATCATTTCTATATGCCAATATTTTTTTATAGATATATTCATAAAATAATGCATTTTTTGGTTCTTAAATATTTGTTAATATTGATTCTAACATATCCGAATAAGATGTTAAATTTATGATATATATATAAAATACTAATTACTAAACTATCAGTTTTTATTTAATAAATCATCATTATTATTTTTTATTTTTGTTAATGAAGAATTCATTTATGCGCTACATTTAAAACATCTGTAAAAGAGATAAAATCTATTTCTTCCACAGCTTTTTCATATTTTTGTTGATAATTTTTAAACTAATTTATCATAGTTTCATTTAAAAATACGATTTTTAAAATTGATTGATTTTGAAATTTATCTCAAAATTTCATAAATTCTATTAAAGAAAAAAAAATTTCTTTCTATTACTTTTATCGTCTTATAAATAATGAATTTACTTTAATATGAAGAGAATATTTGATACAACAAAGATACAGTAGAGTGCAAAAATAATTGCCGCTGCACTTACACATTTCCTCAAGCCATATCTCTCAAGCGCATGAACAAATTCTTCTCAAACTTTTATCAACAATCAGGAGTGTACTATAGATTGCAGTGAGGGTGAGACTCCTCAAAAAGTATCGTTCAGTAGAGCAAGAGACATCGTGATTCGAGTTTCCACTGCTTTTCTAGTATATCAAGAGGTCATATTACACTGCCGGGACTAGGACAGTCGCTACGCTGCGAAAATCGTATTCATAAAGAAGGCTTCTGTTCATAGTATCTAACGACATGCAAATGAGGTCCAATCACATGGGATCTTAAAAGCAAATAGAACATCACAGTGTGTAGAAGAATCAGCAAAAACAGCATTCCAACCCGATTTTTGCACTAACTCGATAGTGGCTTGTCCGAACAACTTGAAATTTTCAGAGTAGACAGTCCTCAGCTATTAGATGAAATTTTGTTCCAAGTGCAGAATTCTCAAAATTCATCTTCAGCGTCAAAAAGAGGTCACAAGCTGCGAAGGTGGTGTTGGATTTCTTTCCCCACCTTAAAAACCAAGGAGGCGTCGTATCGAGCTGAAACTTCGGCTACAAGATCTTGATTCAAAACGAGGTTCATACCTTCTTAAACTTTTTCTCGAACACATCGTTTAGGCTAGAACATAATGTATGTACATAGTCAAAATGACCCTAAATTATTTGAGTGCATCCATTAATCTATATATTTTACTGCTTTTTTGACCGAAGGGAAAGAGAGCTAACTATTTATTATTATATTTGTATATCCTGTTGTATCTATTATCTATATATAAAAGAACTTTCAATATTCGCTGTGTTTAGTAGAGTGAATTTATGAAATACTAACGGCAATTATTTTTGCACTCCACTGTATATTTTTTGAAAAACTTCTATCAATTTTAATCGTACGTATGAATATGATTGTTCAATGTTGAAATGATTATCTAGTTCAACTTTATAAGCATAGAGTATTTCAATATTATCTAATGCTTTGCGTTTATTTTATAATATTTATTTTCAATGTAATTTCTCGTGTCTGTTGAAGAACATATTTTTGAGCTTTATTCCGATAATATTGTATACCTTCTATCTGTTGGTAATCTTCAACCAATATCTCTAATATAGTCAAGATCTTTACTATCACATGTTTCCTTTAAATCTCTAATGTTAGATTGAATATTTTTTTAAAAATATTCTCTTTACAATATCGAATTCAATACATTCTTGCATATCTTTTAGTAAATATTTAATTGCTGATTTAAATTTATTAATATGAATATTATCAGGATTTGATGGTCTTTTCTTTATAGCTTCATCTAATTATTTTCTAAACTTATTCATGATAATTTCTTTTATTGAATGTAAAGTCTAAGCATAAATATAAGTCTTATATGAGTAAGTTTTCCGAATTGATCGCAGATATATGTTGATGAATTCAAAAACTATATACTAATAACGATTTTTCTATATCTTTCAACAATATAAGATATAGTTTTATCTAAATTATGAGTTAGTTGTTAAATCTGTTCAATAATATAGAATGTAGAAAAAGAATCTAATAAATGACGAATTGATCTAATGCAATTTATTTTTTGTTCTACATAATAGAAATCGTTGATTTTAATACAAACACTAATACTTACAATAAAGATTTTTTTATCACTTTTTCAATTAAACTTTTAACATTATTTATAGTCTGATCTATTTATTCTGGTTTATGAAAATATTTTGATATAAATTCTTTTGCATTTTGCATTCGTCTTAAATTTTCTACTATTAATTCAATTGCTTCAATTTCAATATTATTCTGAAGGAAATCCAGTGAAATATTTTGGTGATTTTCAATCAAATTTTTCTGCAACAAAATCAAAATTAAAATTGATTGATAATTTTGATTATTTTTTATCCTGACTTAACTATTTATTGATGTTGTTTCTTATTTCGTATGAAATTTTCTGATTAAAATCGAATTATTTTGCAGTCAATCGAAATTATTAATCAATTGATAATTATGATTTTGCGTCGAGTAATTCGATTTCAATCAGAAAATTTCATGTAGGATAAGAAACAACATGAAAAAATAGTTAAGTCAGGATCAAAAATAATCAAAATTATCAATCAATTTTTATTTTGATTTTGTTGCAGAAAAATCCGATTAAAAATCACCAAAATTTTTCACTGGGATAAATCGCTTTCATTTTTGTTTCTTCCATTAAAATAAAACGATTGATATGAAATATTCGTTTAACTTGGACAAACAAACTTTGTTCTACTGCATATGATGTTTGTAAGACTTTCATATTTTCAGCGACATTTTTATTTCTGAAACTGTTAATATCTACTCTAAATTTTCTAATAAGATCATTAAATCTATTAAGGAATATATTATAAAATTCAAAATAAATATTATTCAACTTTTTGCCGTTTAAAAATCAATCTAATTTACTTAATGCTTTAGGAATAAATAGGTAATTATCAAATATTTCCGTATTTCCTATAACATATAGAGATGTTATTTTATTTGAAAGATTAAGTAGATAATTTTTTAATTATTTTTTTTGATATTGAAAACACGAAAAAACTTGTAGATATTTATCTTTTATTTCAAAAGTTTCTTTGAAGCGACTTAATTTTTTTAAAACTTTATGAAATATTTCTTTTCTATTTTCATTTTTGTATTTTTTTTGAAAAATATTACTAAATTTCTTTATCTATTCTTTCTAAGATTGAATCTTCTTTTTTCTTTCCACTTTCCTAAATTGAATATATTGTTGATAATAGTCAATAAATTTTCTATTTCATTTTTATATCGAAAATTATTATTTTTTATATGTTGAACTATATTCGGAACAATGACTTCAATAACTTTCATCTCATTCATTTCTAATACTATATTATCTAAGCATTCAATTTTATTTTAATTATCAATATCTAAATCTCTTTTGCATAATTTATTTTTCTAATTTATTTTTTTTATATAGAGAATAATGTCTTTTTCATAATCATCGATTAAATCCTAATACATTCAAAAATCCTACTATTCTATATATTGTACATTTTTGAAATTCAATATACATTTCATGATATAATTAAAGTTAGTTTTTTTTATTACAATAAAAATTCATTAATATATCTTCGATTCTTTTATACAATTACCTATGTGTTCTAATGCACTACATATAATAATTATGATTAATTAGAAATAAAATCGATGATATTGTTTGAATTAAAATGATCTTTTTTAATAATTGTTCTAATTCATAAAATGAATATTTATTTTTAAGTTAATCTATGATTTTTCCATCAATCTGCTTATAATAATTGATAAGTTTTAAGAAAAACTCTTAATAAATTTGATTGTAAAGTAACTATACTAATAATTATGTTAAATATACGAGTACATTCTTCAAAACTTTCGACAATATCATTTTCATATTTTTCTTCAAATAGTTTATGACTTAATATTTCAACTAATTCATGTTAATATTGAAGAAAATATTTTATTATTTCTTTATATGTTTTTGTCATATATTCTCTATCTAAATGATTTTCTAGAATAATACATATATCATATTAGTGACATTTTTTTAAAGCGTTAATTTTTTGAAAGATTTAATTATAAACTTATATTTATTAGAGAAAATTTGACAAGTATTTTTATATTTACTATCAATATCAGGAAATTATAAAACAAAAAAGCTTTATATTATCTAAACTATTTTTTATTGATAAATCATCATATATTTTATTCTTGTAAAGATATAAGTATGATATCTATTTGTTGATGAAGATATAGAATAAAAGAATTACTATGAATAACTTCTTTTCCTCAATAATTATTTTTTAATATATCTGTAAGTTTAGCATGATCAACATAAGTTCGATATTGTTCAAGATCATCAATACTTAACATTGTTTGATTAATTAAATAATGATTTAATTTTGTAGTACTATTTTGATATTCTTCAAAGAGATGTTCACTTATATATCGAATACATTCATTATAAATTTGTTTAATATAGTAAAATTTGAGTAAATTATGGGTGTGGGTGTTACTCTTCTCTTTAATGACACACACACACCAACACCCTTATTAAGATTTTTCGTGATTGTATGTTCTTTTTGCTTGTCGAATACATTTGTCGAACACTCATAATTTTAGGTTACGTTCTAGTTTTTATAAACATTTCTCATCATGTGGTACAATTTAATAAGGCTCTATTACAACTTTGTTATGAATCAAAAATTGTGGATATGAATGCATCCGAACAAACGAATAACGTCCACACTCACACCATTTCCCAGAAGGCATGCTGGATAAATTTAAAAAAAAAAAATTTTTGCAGAACAAAAAGAAATCTTTGGTTTATATTTCTATATTTAGAAAGAAAGAGCGGAAGTCATATTTGTGACTATGTATTATATAAATAGGAAGTGATGAAACAGATGGTTATGAAATCAAATATTATTGATTCATAATAAATCTAATAGTCAAAGGATTTCATTCAATATACATAGTCAGAATGAAACTAAATGTGATGATATAGAAGCTATTTGTTTCACTTCCTTTTTCTAGAATAAAATAATGAACTCTTACTTCTTTCTGCTATTTTTGCTGACGACTATTGGGCCTATGCTAACTAAAAATCTTCCAGGTTTGGATTATCTAGCCACGGGCTTTGATGCACTGAAAATGATTAATCTGAATGAAGCACCTTCAGCCTCCGACAATCTCAAATTCCATCTTTTTAACTTGGTTGATGATCGCGGTAAAACATATATGTTTGATTTTGATGGCGTAAAACATAATTACACAACATCTTGTTATGTACAAGTCACAACAATTAACATGAAAACAAAAGTTGCTGCTGAAACAATTAGTAAAACGTATCAAGAATTTCGACAATAGTGAGACATTCTTTCTTTTCCAAATCTTACTATTCTAAACATTTAATTTATAATTACTTTCAATCCTATTCCTTCAATATTAGTATTCCTATACCATCAGATGCAGCTACAATAGACGTTTCATTCGGATATCATTGCACTTTATCACAAGCCTATGCGAAGATCACCAAGAAAGAAAGATCAGTTGGAATATAATCTTATTGGTGGGGAATTTACAATGTTCATCTGGGTCCATTATATTTATTAAAGTAAGCTTTTCGAAAGTGATTGAAAAAAGAGTGTAAATTTTTGTTTATTACGTTCTAATCTGTGTAATAGATTTGATCCATTGTTCACATAAGCTCTCGACAAACTTGTTGATGAGCCGGCGACATCAAAAGATCAAGCATACTACAATCATCTTATCGAAACATTTGATACTCATTATATCTCATCAGTCATCGTTGGTGGTGTTGGTAATCTCT